CCCTAAGTGGTAAAGCTGGGAGGGGATGAGCAATCACCCTCCGCCAAGCTGGCCCAGAGCACCCTGCTCTGCCACTTGCCGTGTGGCCCTGCCTTTGCCCGAGTCACCCCTTTGGAGAGTCAGAGAAAGAATTTAAATGTTGATGGGGGAAAAAACACACAAACTTATCAGTGAAAATGAAAGGCTGCCTAAGAAAAAATGTTATTTTTTCTTAGAGTTTTCTCATCACAACCATTATAGACCTGAAACTATGTATTCTAATGAGCACCAGTGTTTCTGAACAGCCGCCTTACTTGACAATGTAGCTCACTNTATGTATTCTAATGAGCACCAGTGTTTCTGAACAGCCGCCTTACTTGACACAATGTAGCTCACGNAAACTATGTATTCTAATGAGCACCAGTGTTTCTGAACAGCCGCCTTACTTGACAATGTAGCTCACTCCCCTCTGAGAGCCAGAGAACGCTAATGGTGGCTGCCAGTTAGTGTCGACGGCGTGCCCGAAACTATGGGGCGGTCTTGTCCCATGAAGCAGGCGTCGGTCCTCATTTATAGATGAAGAGACCAAAGTCAGTCAGTGACGTGACTGTCCCAGGCCACACGGCTGGCACGTGGAGCCCGGACGAATCCACGCCCGTGTGATGGATTCTGGCCCAGGGCCTTTGGACCGCCGCAGTTCTCCCGAACGCCCCAGCGCTGAGGCACCAGGACTAAGGCCCGTCCTATTGGGGTCCTGTTGGTGTCTCCTGTAGGTGACATGTGGGGTAAGAGATGTGGGCGTTAGAAGGGAGCTTGAGGACTTGGAATAATGTTTTTTCCCCGTTTTCAATGCATGTAGTGCTTAAAGTCCTAGGTCACAATTATGAGAAGTACTTTTTGGAAGAATGCAGAAAACACAAAGGGGGCAGCCGTGGACGGCAGAAAGGCCCCTGTCGAGGGCCAAGGTGGGATGGTAGAGCCACATGCCAAGGGGACGAGGGGTGGGGACAGACCCACAGAGAGGGTGTGAATGACGGTGTCTTCGGGCCGACCCCCAGAGCCTCTGGGAGCCGAGTTCTCAGTACCCCGCCTTAGCACTCCACCTTAGTAATCTTCCTTAGTGCTCCACTTAGGACTCTTCGTCGGCCTGGGGGCTCAGAAAGAAAACCGCTGTCTCAGGCCTCCGCTCCCCCGTTTATGTTACTGTCCTGGAGTCCGTGAGGCTTGCCCCTTGTTTCCTGGGGAAATCGGCCTGGCTTGTGAGTCCATTGTCTTCTGGGACCGGGACAGATGTGGAAGGCTGACCTCACTCCCAGCCGAAGGTCACCTTCCCAGCCTCGCCGCAGCTCCCGCGCCCCAGGCCTCGCTGGCCCAGCTGGGGGCCCCGCCCTTTCTCCTCCCACTTCCTTCAGGGATGAGGGACACCTTCTGCTCCAAGGTCCCCTGTTTTGTTTGTGGTCACTCCCCTGAGACAGCCCGTTTCCTGCCTTGCGTCCGACCTCAGTCCATCCCGGGGCAGAGCTGGAGTGAGACAGGGTGGGGGCTGTCTGGGCACCCTGGCGGGCGCTCCTGCCCTGCACCTCCTCCTGGAGAGGGCACCGGGGCACGGACGGTGGGAGGGCCTCTGTGCTGCTGGTGTGTCACTGCCGCCTGGCCAAAATCCACCTCTCCATTTCACCTGCCCCCATCTCCCAGGCACTCCTTCCTCCCTAACCGAAACCAGGATGTGTGGCGTTTTTATAGCACTGGAGTCCCCTGTCATCTGCTTCCATTTCTCTGAAGCGGTCTAGTAAAATCCTGTGCTCGCGGCTGCCGTCTCCAGCGACAGGGCTCAGGGAGCGCAGGTGGCTCTCGGTGCCTCGGACCTCACGAGCCCCGAGCCCCGAGGCTCCTGATGACATGACGCAGCGTCCGCGCCTGCTCTTTCTCCGCCCGCCGCTCTCACGCCGGGAAACTTCAGTCGCAGCTGCCGAGAATTGGGCCCGATGGGCGCCCCGTGGTTGGCGGGGTGGTTCTCGTGGGTTGGGCCTTTGGGCTTCTCACCCGTTTCTTCTCAGCAGCATACACGTCCCTAAACATAAACAAGGCCATCTGATTCGGCCTGCTGAAGCAACTTTTATGGCGATCTACCCATCGTATGTGTACCTTGCAGCTGTGACTTCGGTTTTTGTCCTGGGTGGGTAGTTTGTTCCCGAGGTTGTGCGGCGCTCTCCTGCATGAATGAACACAGGACAGTTCATCACTTACCACCGGCGGCGGTTGGGTTTGTCCCGAGTTCGGCTGTTTGGAGGAGTGTCGCGGACACCCTCCTTGTCTTCCGCCTGAGTGACTGCGGTTTTATTAGACGATCCCTAAGCGGGCCCTTCTCCCGAGCTTAAGGGGGGCAGAAAGGGTTGCAGCTTCGGCCAGAGTTTCTGTGTCGCGACTACAAACCCGGCCGGGATCCAGAGCCAGCGAGGCCAGCGTAGGTGTGGCCGGGCGAGGCTGCCCGTTAGTTTACACAACAAGCTTCGCAGAGTAACTTTATTTTGTAAACAAGACGGGAGGGCCGCGTCTCGGATGTTTCAGAGGAACGGAAACAACTGTTTTCAACCACTTTGAAAGCGTCTCTTTGGGTCCCCAAGCTGTTACGTTTCCAGCCCCGTCCTCATTTATCCCTGGGAGCGGCGCCCCTCGGCGCGGGCCCCGGGCCGCCTGTGCTCTGCGCGCTTTCGCTAGAGGCTGCCCAGGTGGGCCCTTCGCCGGACACTGTGACCCCCCGTGGGAAAGGGGCCCTGGGGGGGGAGGAGCCGCGAGCCTGCTCCCTCCGGGTTCAGACCTGCGCGGTCCAGCCTGGCAGCCGCTGGCCGCAGGTGACTATTTAAGGTTCCGGAGCTGTTTTTATGTAATTGACTTTTTCTAGCACTCGGTCTTAATCATTCGGACTTCTGACCAGGTTCAATCTTAGTTTTCTATAGATACAGGGCATCCCAAAAAATGTGCACACACTGCAACAGCTGATAGCTCAATTTTGAAAACGAAATGTATTATAATAAACGCCGCCTTTATAATTATCCAAAGTGTGCGTATGCTTTTTTGGGGGACACCCTCTATGCCCCATAACAAAGGGTGGGTGTTTTGAGTGGGGAGGTAATTGCTTTCCCCTTTTGCAATTTTAATTAGAAATGACCTCCGCTGCCCTCCTCACCGTGATGTCCAAGCCCTCACAGACCGTAGGGACGCAGCAGTTTCTGTTGAGCCCGTTCCCGAGCTCAGGGGGCAGCACCCCTTTAATGAGGAGGGTGAAGATTCCGTCCTCGGGCGTGTTTTTCCAGGACTTTGTGTAGTAAGTGACCAGGGAGGGTGCGCCCCACAGGGTAATGCAGGAGGAAATCTGTCAGAGCTCACGGAGTTGTAAAGCCTGTTTCATCTGTAACGGCCTGTCTGCACCTCCGGCTCCCGTTTTCCTCGGCACAACTCAGCCCGACCTCTGCGGACAGAAGTGGCTGTGCCGTCCGTGGGGCTGCTGGAGACCTCAGCGCTAAAGCCCGGCTGAGAGGCAGGATGCGTCTCCCGGGCCGCTTGCTGCCCTGCGTGGAGCCCCAGATGGCCTCCCAGCCGTGGGCCCCAGCAGATCCCTCGCCTTCGGGTAGCCTTTCCCTGCACCTGCTTCATCCTGTCGGCCCAGACCCGTCCTTCTCCCTGTGGCCTGGACGACCTCCAAGTACGGCTTTCTTCCCCCTGCTAAAAAGCCTTGGGTGGCTGCCCATTGTCCACACTCAGCGGGGACACCGGAGCCCGGATTCGAGCCCCCGCCCGCCTTCCTAGTCTCATGCCATTTACTAAGCTGCTTTCTGAGTCCTGGTCTATGCCAGGCTCTGCTGGGCGCTGGGGACACAGTGATGAACCAGCTCCCCTCAGAGGGGAGCGTTAGGAAAGGTCAAAGGAAACAGTAAAATTAATTTCGTGAATAGCTTATTGAGCCTACGATGTCCAAAATGTCATCACGTTCACGTGCGACACCAGCCACATCCCAGTGCTCAACAGACGTGGGGCTGGTAGGTTCCACGTGGTCTCGAAGCGAGCGGACAGGTAGAGAGGCAGGCGGGTGTCATGCGAAGTCCTGGACTCCGGCTCTGTCTCTTCAGGGGAATGGAGCATCTCCTGTCCACGAGATGCTGGCCGGGCACCCCCCTGCGGGGAGTCATCTCGTCTGTGCAGTAGCCCTGTGGTTAGTGTCACTGCCCCAGTTTACAAGCCTGTCTCCCTCCCGGCACAATCAGAGGCGGCCCCGTCGACCTTCTGTGGGGCTTCACTGGTGAGGGGGAATCTCGCCCGTCTCCCTTGTGGCCGTGGAGCTGTAATTAAGCCTCCAGGTTCTGTAAGCCACTGAGCAAACAGTGTCGGGCATCTCCACTCGGGCTTTACAAGAGCCGGACGCTGCGGCTGTGTCGTGGTCGGTCTATCAATATTTGTCGAATATTAAATACATAAGTGTGCCTGTTGAATCGTATGACCTTGCAGAGTAGGTATTGTCACTCCCGCTTTTGGAAGGGAAGCCTGAGGCTTGGCAAGGATGGGGAGCGCGCCTTCCAAGCCAACAAGCAAATATGTATCTGGGTCTTTCTGCGTCCGGAGTGCGGTTGCCTTCCGCGGGCCGTGCGTAAGGTGGCTGCTGTGGGTGGAGTGACGGGGCGCCCTGCCTCACCCCGCACCGGCCGCCCCCCTGCCCCCGTCGCTCCCTGTGCCTGGGACGAAGCCCAGACACAGCGGCCAGCCTGGCAGGCTGCACCTCCTGGAGCCCTGCTGGTTCCCGGGAGCACTGAGACTTGGGTATAGTGGAGTCGGGCCAAGGGGCCCGGTTTCCCTGCCGAGGGCTGAGGTCCAGCAGGTGCTGTGCACAGGGGCAGCATGGGGGGGACGGGGTCAGCGTTTAGGGACGGCCGATCCTCATACCACACTGAGGATTGTCCCACGGAGCAGCCCGAGCGGCCTCCAGGGTGGCTCCCACGTGGCCGCCCTCTGGTCGCCGTGATCTGTGCCCAAGCCCTGTTTACATGAGCATATTCTCGGTATTTCAGGCTCTGGACGTGGACCGGATGGTTCTGTACAAAATGAAGAAATCCGTGAAAGCGATCAACATCTCGGGCCTGGGTGAGTTCCCGCCTTGCCTGGGGTTTCTGTGGGAAGCATTGTATCCCTGGTCCCAATGCCGTGGTGTCCGTCACCGTTAATTAACAACCTACAATCTCCTTTTTCTGGGCATGCGGGTTACAGAGGCGAGTTGGGGTGTTCACGCGTTAGAAGTATTTCTGCTTTGCTCTTTGCCCAATCCTGGTGTGGAATTGTGCCCTGGGCCCCCCAGCCCGCCCCGTGTACACACACACACACACACACACTCTCACACTCACACATGGATTCACACTTTCCTACACTCACACANCACACACACACACACACACTCTCACACTCACACATGGATTCACACTTTCATACATTCACACATGGACACACATGCACACACATGGATTCACACTTTCATACACTCACACGTGGACACACTCACACGTACACACACACATGCACACACATGGATTCACACTTTCATACACACTCACATGGACACACACACACGCACCCTGGCTCTATGGGCTGGACCAAAAGGCCTCAGTATGTCCCCCCTGCGTACAAAGCAGTAGTGTCTTACACAAAGCAAATCTATTATGTTGGCTCTCGCTTTTCAAAAAGATGACGAGGAACCAAGCTAGAGGTATTTTCTGGAACAACTATGTACAGTTCTCCTGAAGTAGTTATCATAGCAATTCGTTGAGGAACTGTTGCTACCATGATTTTTCCTATTCTCAGGAGACTGCCATCCGACCTCTTTAAAAAGCCCAGTTCATGTTTGTTCTAAAACTTGCATTAGTCTAAAATTTCCTGAGCTTTGCCTCAGCCCAAAGGTGTTTTTCCCACACCGTGAAGTTAAAGCTAATATTTTTTCAGTTGTGTTTGACATCTCACTGGGTGGAAACATTCATCTATCAAGAAGGAAGCAACCAGAGGCTTTCATTTTCACTTCTCGTGGGGCTGTTTTAAAGACACACGGAGCTATTCTTGCTGAGAGCGGGCTCTCTCTTCTTCACTCTCCATCCGAATGTCCTAGAGAAATTGTCACATCTGTGAAATGAAACATACGAAGAAAGAAACCCTAATGTCCCCTCAAACCCTCCCCATCTCCTACCGACAGAAGAAAATGAGAATCAGCTTCGTATGTGTTTCTCCCGGTTATTTGCAATGCTAATTAGAACATGGCTATTTAATGCAGAGCTTAAAATTAATACAGAGAATTTTCCTACTACAGGAATCATATACAGTTGACCCTGAACAACATGGGTTTGGACTGCAGGGGTCCACATATATGCAGATATTTTTCAATAAATATACAGCCTGCTGTCTGTATCTCCAGCTTTCACATCCTCGGATTCAACCAACCTTGGATCAAAGACAGGATTTTCTATCTGTAGTTGGGAATCCCTGGATGTGTAGGGCCGGCTGAATGCGTTGTTCTACGTCATTTCATACGAGGGACTTGAGCATCCACTGGGGGCCTGGAACAAACCCCCCGCTGACACTGAGGGACCGTAGTTAAGTGTTTAGGGAGTCAAAAGTTATATGTGGATTTTCGACTGCACCAGGGGCTGATGCCGTTAACTCCCGCCTTGTTCAAGGGTCATCTGTAATTAGGGTAGAGCAGGTCCAAAGAAATAGGTGCAATCGTTTAGGAAGCGAAGTTGCATTGTGCATTACGAAGGTACATCTGGTGTGGTTTCCTACCTGTTAACATGAGAAAATAGGTTAAGTCCTAATAATCCTCAGTGTTGGGCAAGAAGCCGTGAGGCTGGCACCCTGCTGCTTTGCGTAGCATCGAAAGCTGGCACCCAGAGCTCTGGCAAAGCCCTTTTGCAGGGCACATCAAGAAAAATAAACATCTTTGTACAGGAGGATGCTCAGAGCCGCTCGTTGCGTTGTTGCCGATCACAGTGAGAACGGAAATCCTCCTGTAACTGAATTAGGGCAGAGCTACGTGTTGGAATCGCGGCAACACCGGGGAGAATGCCCGTGATGAAATCTTCAGGCGGAACAATGCAGGACTGAAGATGCGTGTACATCGTGTCTGTGATTAAAAAGAGAATCGGAGCTTTAACACAGGTCGAAGACGAGAAAGTTCATCTGTGTTGATGTTTATAAACTTGAGAATGGAATATTTCTTATAGGCCAGGCATGTGCTCAGTAAATACAGTGGGACCTCGGTTCCTGAACTTAATTCATTCCGGAAGGCTGTTCAAAAACAGAATCTTTTTTTTCCCCCCATTAGAAATAATGTAACTTGACTGAATCCGTTCCAGACCCCCGAACGATTCCGTTTTAACCTTCCCTATATACAGCACATGCCTAATGCACTGTTTATAAATAAGCACTTAAGAAACAAAAAGGACGTGAAATGTGAATGAAAATTTAACAAAAAGGGAATGTACAGTGAAAGGTGAAAATTTAATAATAATCAGCAACAAAAGCAAAGAAAAAAACGAAAATATTCACGGCACAATTTCCTGAGACGTTAACAACGTGAGGTTGGGCGGTGAACTGACTCCCACTCGCGAATCCTCTCCTTTGTCGCCTGAGAGACATGTATCAGCACGACAGACAGACAGGACAGACAGGTATCAGCACGAAAAGGTTGTCGGGCTGAGAAGCGGGTTGTTGAAGATGGGAGATGTTCGGGAACCTCGGCTTGACTGCACTTTGCATAAACTTAATCTCACGGCAGCTCTGGGCTAGGTGCTGTCAGTAACCCCGTTCATGGACGTCCCTGAGGCAGTGGTCACTTCCCCGGGGTTGTGTACCCAGCAGGTAGAGGAGCTGAGATGGGGAACCAGGGGCGCCCCACAGCGTCCACCTGGACCGCCTGCCCGGCAGGGCGTGGCTGAGGGTGCCGTGCGCAGTGGAGGGAAGCCGAGCGGTACTGCTGCGGGGCCGCCCCGGGTGTCATCCGGCTGAGCCCTGGCGCGTCTCACGAGAAGACTCTGGGTTGTTCCGGTGGATCCCAGGTGCAGTAGGAGTCCGAACGTGATGGGTGTGCTCACGGGTGAGCCCCAGGTCACCTCAGGGAAGTAGCTGTGTTTCACAGGAAGGTGGTGGTCCCATCGTTGACATGGAAGAGCAGCGTCGTTGGAGGAACCTCAGCGGGGGAACTGAAAGCCCCGTAGGTGGGCCCTGGAGGAGCCGGGCCGCCTTAGCTCGGGCAGGGTGGGGAAAGGGATTCCTGGAGGCAGCTTGCTCTGGGATGTGGAACTGAGACGTGTCCTCGGTTCCTCTCTGGAGGGTTGTTTCAGGAGAACAGGTTTTGACTGAAAGATGAGGGAGAAGTTGGCTGGTGAGCTGGTCGTTGGAAGGGTTCCGGTAGGGCCGGCGGCCTGTCTCTAAGGAAGCTGGGGGCGGGGGGCACTCGAGATGTGGTTCTGAGATTCTGGTTATCTCTCCTGCTGGTGAGTAACGATCGGAATTCAGATGGATGACTCCGTGACTCGCAAATCCCTTCAGCGGTGATCGACCTCTGAGTCATGGGAGGATGCTGGGCTGAAGGGACGCAGAGATTGGTGACGGTAGGATTGGTGACCTGCAGTCCCAAGTATTAACATGAGTCATTTTTAGGGTCATCATATTGTTTGGTAGGGAATGTAAGCTCCTCTAGGCTAGGGGCTCTTTCAGCTGGTGTGCTGGGTCTGTGGACACACCCAGGGGAGTCTCTGTGCACCCCCAAAAATGCATGAAAAATTACGTAAAGGTACCTTTTCCTGAAGAGATCGTCCAAAACATTGTTCTGATTTTTATTGGTGTCTGTGACAACCAGACGATTAAAGAACCCACAGATCGAGCCAAAACCCATGTTTTACAGGCATGGATACCGTCCCAGAGTTGGGTGTCTGCCCTGCTTACTGTGAAACATTGGCTGCACTGTTCAGCAGATGTCACCAAACCTGTTTTCTCATCTGTAAAATCCCGCAGAGGTGTCGTAAAGATGCAGCAGTGTGCATGTGTGCGTGTGCATGTGTGTGCAGGTGTGCATGCATGTGTGTGCAGGTGTGTGTGTGTACAAGCGTGCATGTACAAAATCTCCCCTCCGGGAATGGTGGCTATTACTGTGAGGCTTTGGAGACATTGATTTTCCAGGGGCTCCCGTCCCTGAGGAATGCAGACCTGGGCACCTCAGCACGCCCAGTCTCGTGGGCTGTGCTCCCTGGGAGGTGGGGGTGGGGGTCTGCTGAGCATCTGTGAGTAAAGAGAATTGAAGCCCTCAGGTCTGAGGAGGTAAAAACAGAGCGAAATGGGTGAAAGCAGTCTGCAGTGACCCGATGCCCATCCTATAATGTAGCCGATCAAATCGCTTTGGCAGCAAAGGGCACCGACGTGACTGGGTGTAACGTGTCTAACAGCCGGGAGCCCACACTCAGCGGCGCTGGCTCCCCTCCCTGCGTTGCATGTGGACAGGTGGGGAGTCTGGGCTAGCGGAGGGCCCAGCGGTTCTGCCCCGTGGGCTCTGCCCCCTTCGCCCGGAGGCGGACGCCCGGGTGAGGCAGGCGGTGCGCTCAGGGTTAGACTCAGCCTCTGCTGGACTCCGAAGGGCGCCCGCGCGAGCTCCTCTCCCAGGCCTTTCCTTCGCCCGGCGCCCGGACTGCATTCCCGGTGGGCTCATTCATGCTCAGCCCCGTCTTGCTGAATTGTGTTGGCAGCTACCAGTCTCATGTAGAGGTGCTGGGCTTAACTTATTCGCCCAGATTTCCAGCTGCCACTTTTTTGTCGTTAATGTACGGTAAGAATATGGGGTGATCACAGAGAAACGTTTCCGTAGCCTTTAGTCACCTTGACCTGTTGACTCCGTTGCCGGCTGCCCGGGCTGGACACAGCCGGCCTAGAGACATTCCCGTGGTAACGCCCGTAGGACTGATGGTTTCCATGAGGTCAAGGGGTCGGCCCAGGAGAGACTTAACGGAAATGAGGTTTGAATGAAGTTTGGGAAGCAGAAAGGAACGCAGTGTGTTGGGAAAAGCGCAGGAAATGGCAGGTTACAAAGCCAAGCAGTGTGGCCAGGAGCAGGGGGCTGCAGGGTCCTAGTCAGGGCGATGCTGAGACTGAGGCCGGACGGCCATCAGCTGCCTTTCTCCCTGGTGATGGCACTTGGTGTCTGTTGCTAGTGTGTGTGCTGGGCTGGAGGATTGTAACACGTTCGTGTCAGCCCAGAGCGGAGATGGTGACGATGGGATGAGCAAATGAGGAACCAGTTCCCGGCGTGGTTGGAGGCCCGTTGGAGGACTGGGCGTCAGGACACATGAGTTCACGTCCCAGTTCTTCTGCAAACCAGCTGTGAACTTGGGCAGGTCAGCACCTTCTCTGAGCTTCGGTTTCCTTGTCTACAAAGAGAGGATTCTGGACCGGGTCCTGTTCTAGCTGAAAAGACCCAGTCGTGGGCATGGTGGCCCTGATGAGGGTGGGACGTGAGGCCTGTGCTGCCCGGGGATGGTTTTGAGAGTCAGGAGCTGGAGGCAGGCAGGGCTGTCAAACCAAGACAGTGTTCAGGGCTCCGAATGCCCGGGACTCCTTGTTCCCCTGGGGTTGGTACCTCCCTGTTCCTGCTGCTTCTCTGGAGATTCCTACCGGACCTTGGAGCCCCAGCTCAGTATCTCTGAGTCCTCAGCACCCAGCACACTGCCTGGCAACTCTGCAGGCCGGCGATGAACGATCCATACACCCTGCCCTGGACATTGACCGCACACGTCCCTGTGTCCCAGCAGTGCAGCCACACCCTGGTGCGGGCCTGGAAGCCATGCGTGACGTGCTTGAGGTGGACGCGAAGGCGGTTGACTGGCTGTGGGTTCCCTCCCGTCCTCTGGCCGCGCTGGGCCGGTGGCCTGCTTCCCTGCTGTGCTGTGGCCTGTTGAGTAAGGAGTGAAGGGACCACCTCTTGTTCATTTTAGCTTCAGCTACACGCACTGGGCCTTCTCCTTGATATCGGCATTTCAAATAATCAAATAAACTAAAGAGCACACAAGACCCAGCCCCTTACCTCTCAACTCAGTACGCACACGTGCGCGTTGGCCCCCTGCTAGGTTTTTCTGTGAGGGTCTCATTTCGTCCCTTTGAATGGATTGGTGGAAAGCACGACTTCTGTGCAGGGAGGTGGGTCATGGGAAGGCTGCTGGGCTACGCTTGGGAAGAAATAGGGTCTTACCTATGGCCGAGGTGCCTCAGATTCCCATTTCCCTGAGTTCCTCCCACCTCAAAGCGTCTTGGGTCTGGATCTTTAATAAGAAGCAGATTAAAGATATATTTGAACAGGGGGAGGTGGAGGAGTGAGCCCTTTTTAGAAGAACAGCTTTCACCATCCTGTAAATAAAAGCTGATAGCCCCAGTTTGGGTTCTTTCCAGAAACTTGATTCCCAAGCTACTTATTTTAGGTTCTTATTTTAAATTTGTTTTTGGCAAAAGAAAAATAAAGACACTCGACTGCTTTCTGTTCTGTAGGAGGCAAAGCTCAGACCCGGGAGCCGGCGGTCAGGCAGTTAATGTGCACCGATGGGGGGTTGCCGTTGTCACAGTGTGCTCCGTGCCGGGCTTACGGGAAGGCCCGCCGGACACGGGCTGTGGTCTTCATCAAGAAGCTTCACATTGGTGTGCGGGAAGAGAAATCTGTGTTAAAAACCTCAACTAGATCTACATGAAGTGTTTCCACTCACCTAAGCTGGGACAGCTTGAGCGTCGGAAGAGGATCGCAGTGGATGAACACACTTTAAATATAAATACGTGAGATCATCCTGATCCAGGAGATGTGGTGATGAGATCGTCACGTTACACGAGATGATGATGGTGACCGTGACAAGCCAAGAAGCCTCCTTGATCGCCATGGGGATTGCTGGGATCAACACATTATTTTAGAGATTTATAAGAGAAAGAATTAAAAAAAAAAAAATACCCATAACCTACATCAGTTGAGAAGCCCAGAAGGAGGGACAATAGAAGTTCGCTCGTACCTGGTGCAGGGGCCTGAGGCCCTGCCATGTCTCTCCTCTGTGCCAGGTTCCTCTCTCCCACAGGTGCTCAGGGGCTGGGCTGCTGCTGCGTCATAGTCAGAGGATGGATTTGGCCCATCCCCACCTCTTACCCACTGTGTGATCTTGGAAACACCATATAACCCAACTGAGCTCCGCTGTATTCCAAAGATAGTAGGGATGCACCAGGCATACCGCATGTGGTTATCAGGTACATTGAACGTCAGGCTTAAAGGCCACCTCGTAGGCACTAAAAGCAAATTCCCCGCCCTGCCCTGTGGGGTTGGTTCACTTAGGGCAGCCGTGAGGGTCCAGGCACCGGTTTGAGGGGCTCCACGTGGCTCCCACGGCAACAGCAGCCTCTGCACACGTGGTGCTCTCCCCCCAGTGGGGTGACATCACCAGACGTCTGCTTGCGGCTATCGCTCCCGTCTGAAACCATGCTGGAATTGCCCGCATTGTGGCCACCGGTTTTGAAATAGTGAAATAGCATGTGGTTGGCAAGGCACTGCCCCCCATGGTTGACCACAGGCTCTAGATTTAGAAGGAGAGTGGAATGGAAGAGAGAACCGATCTGTCCCTGGAGTGGAACTTTTACAGTCCCAAGCTCAGGTCCCTTGGTTTGGGCAAGGCGAGCTATTTTTAGGGATGAGCCACAGGCCCGTGTAGCAGGAGAATGGGCTCCGGGTCAGACAGCCCCGGGTTGGACCCGGCTTGGCCCCACTCTGGCTCTGTTTCCAGCTTATACTATGTGACTTCTTTGAGCCCCGGTTTCCTTTCGGCGTTATGGGACATGCTACACATCGTAGAAAGCTGCTGTGAAGTGTGGAAAACTGGTCAACACAAATGATGTCTGCTGTGTGAATTATCGGTGCTGTCGGGTGTGGTTGAGTGTGGCTGAGCTATGGTCCCTACTCTGTTTCTGTTTTTTTTTGTTGTTTTGTTTTTTTAATTTTTTTATTGATTTTTAGAGAGAGGAAGGGAGAGGGAGAGAGAGAGAAACATCGATTGGCTGCCTCCTGCACGCCCCCTGCTGGGGATCGAGCCCACAGCCCTGGCATGTGCCCTGACTGGGAATCGAATCGGCGACTTCTTGGTGCACAGGGTGGTGCTCCACCGACTGAGCCACACCAGCCAGGGCCCGTCCTCTGTTTCTTTGACCTGTACCTTAACCCTGTGAGTCTCTCATGGCAGGTCCTTTGCCCTCGTGTGGCTAAGATGTAGCCCAAGGGAGCATGAATGACTTAACGAAGGCCATACTTGTTCCCCAGGCGTGGGACTGGAACCCCGATCCCCCGAGGGCTCTCCTGCTCTGCCCACAGCCTCCATGTGTGTTTCTGCTCGTTTGCTGCGTGTAGTCTTAGAAACGCATTTAATTTGTGCATATCTCTCAGACCCTTTTTAGGAATGTCAAGAAATAAACATAGACAGTCAAGGAAGTGAATTTTCTCTTGTGTGTGTTAGATCCATGTAGGGATCTCCTAAGACATTTAAATGCCACTGGAGGTCAAGGGCAGGTGCCTCCCTGGTAGGATGGGTGGGCACCTTGTTCGTGGGTCCTAGGCGCCTGGCTCCAGGGCAAGGGTTCCCCGTCCCCTGTACAAACAAACGGTCCTGCGTAGAAAGGAGACGTCATGCTGTGTGGCTTTGGACCAGAGTCTAGAGTTTCACACTGGACACGAGCCCCCGCCTCCTGCGGAGTGGACTTGACAGGTGACACCTGCCGTGATGTGGGCCAAGGAGGAGTCCTAGGGGATGTGGAAGGCGTCAGGTTGCCTTGNTCACACTGGACACGAGCCCCCGCCTCCTGCAGCGTGGACTTGACAGGTGACACCTGCCGTGATGTGGGCCAAGGAGGAGTCCTAGGGGATGTGGAAGGCGTCGGGTCGCCTTGGGGGGTCTCACCCAATGAGCTGCAGACTGTGGGGCTCCTGGAGGCGCTTTCCCGATTGTGCTTTGGGGGACCTGCGGCTGGCACCGCGGGGTGTTGTTGCAGCAGCAAAGCTGTTTCTGCTCCCGGTGCATCTCGACTTTTCTCAGATTTTTATTCTGCTCACGTGTTCGATTGTATCCGCAGCTGAGGAGGTGGGGAGGGGCTGCCCGGTGGGGGGGCTGGCGAGGCCCCGCACTAACGGCGCGTCTCCCGCCTTCCAGCCCACGTGGAGAGCGAGGAGCAGTACACGCAAGCCCTGGAGAAGTTTGGCGGGAACTGCGTGTGCAGAGACGACCCGGACCTGGGGAGCGCGTTCCTCAAGTTCTCAGTGTTCACCAAGGAGCTGACGGCGCTTTTCAAAAACCTGGTGAGTGTCCTCCTGCGTCCGCTGCGGCCCTCGGGCAGCGGGTGAGACCCTGCAGTCACCGTAGGTCAGGGGTGGGGACCTTTTTTCTGCCGAGGGCCACTTGGATATTTATAACATCATTCACGGGCTATAGGAATTTATCAGCTTAAAAATTAGCTGTGAACAAAGCTCCTAGATTTGGTGAAGTCTGAGTCCTGCCTGCGGTTGCCTGTGGCAGGGTCAGACCAAGTGATTTTGAGGGCTGTGCACGGCCCGTGGGCCCGATGGTCCCCACTCCTCTGTGGGTGGCGAGGGAGCACAGAGAGGCTAATTAGGGCTTGTTGGATAAACTAGGAATGAATGTCATAGCTCGTGGGGTCCCGAAAGGAATTATATATTCTGTACGCATTAGGTCACTTTGGAATACATTTTAGAATTGTAAGATTCAACAAGGCTTTCTGCATTCCATTTGGCGTGTTAAACATGCTCAGCTGTGAGATAAAATGAATAAACGCATCCATCTTTCTAAGGGCCTCTGACTTCAGTCTCTAATTGTTTTTAAACTCTGTGGAATTGGCTGTTTCTGGTAATTGCAGTTGGCATTTCAACTTATAATATTTAATAAACATGTTTCAGATCCGTCTTACCCAGCAACCTAACCTCTAATCAAAACACAGAAATTGTCATGAATATTTAAAGGCCTTTTCTTTTCTCAAATGTGGAACCTGAGTCTCACTTTTAAGCAGGTGGAAGTAGGGAGCTGTGCTCCTTGCCCACGGGGGGCGCCGGGGAACCGGGTTGGACGGAGCTCCTCCTTGCGCCTGGCAGCCCCGGGCCGCCCTGGGCCTCGTGGTGGAAACGGAATCTGAAGAAGTGGGCAGCCCGCAAGGGCGTTTGTGGCCGCCGGGTGGGGGTTTCTCTCACGAGGGGAATGTCCACAGGGATGGTCCCGGCGTCTCTTTCCTGTTTTTCTCCCCCAGCTTCTCCCAAAGGTCACGGGCGACCAGACCAGGTCAAGGACCCAACAATGCTTTCTATGTAGGTCGCAAACAACGGAGCCTTTTTCATTCCTCTTGTCAGCAAGTTCATAACAAGTGAAAAAATAGGTCCTTGTCCTGGGAATGGTGATGGTGGCGGGTTTGTAAGTCTGGCCTCAGCGGGGCGGACACGAGTTAATAACAGGAAAGGGGGTGGGGACCAGGCTCTCGGTCTGTCTCCCTGTCTCCACTTGTAAAATATCCCAGTTGGAAATGGTAAAAATAAAAAGCCGTTGCTGTGCTTACGTTTTCCACTTGGCTTCATCCCACATCTCTCGGGGCTCTTACCAAGTCCGTCGCCTGTTTATTACGGCCCCACACGGGCCGACGGCAGGCCCACTGAGCACACAGCCGGCCCCTTCCAGCCCCGCTCCCCGGGCACGGGCGGGCGGGTTTGTTTGGGTCTCAGCCCCGAGTCAGGCGGGAGCCTTTTACTTTTCATTCCTTTTAACTGGAGAAACCAAATGGTCCCAGGAAGGTGCTGACGTGGGGGGTCGGCCAGTGAGGGACTCAGCCTCACCTCCCCGCCCCCGTGCTCGCTGAGCTCCAGCCAGCTCCTGGGCGTCTGGCTCCTGACTATGAATGAGCAGCCTCCAGAGTAAGAGAGACCAAAATAAACACAGCAGGGGAGCAGAGGCAAGGAACAGGCAGGAGAAAACTCTAAAGAGGCCGTGTTCCCGTCCTCAGAGAAGCCGGCACACAGCAGCCAGCCCCAAGAAGCGGGGAGAGGAGGCCCGGGAGGAGGCCCGGTCTGTGCCCCACCCCAAGCACTGTCTTCATCCAGGGGATCCCCACTGGGGTCTTGTCAGCTGTAAAATGGAGACGACAGCATTGTACCTGGTTTTGTGTGTAGAATAGGGCCAATGCTTCTGCACGTGGTAGCTTCTTGAATCCTGTAGCAATCCCATAGGTGAGCCAGTGTCACCCCCACTTTATAGATCCAGTAACTGAGGCTTGGGTGGCTTAAAGAGCTAACCTGTCTCCCCGGGGCGCTGGGAGCCCTCGCCAGCCTTCGGCCGTGTGCCTGCAGGTAGAGAAGGGTCCCCAGTGGAATCCTGAATGAACGGATGGTACAGAGTTACCAAGGTGAGCAGCTGCGCAGTCAGACAGAAGAAGCCCTTTCTTTTCTTGGTTTTCTGCAAAACTGACAGCGGGGCCGGGCCTGGCTGTAGGTGCCCACCGCCCCGCGGCTCTGCCCCTGGGGCACGCGGAAGTCCCTGCGGTGCAGCGAGTCCCAGGTGCCACCGCGCAGCGAGCGCCCCCTGCAGGGAGCACCGGGCTGGGCGCGGGCGTGCCCTGGTGTCTGCTCTTCCCTTCAGCCATCTCTCCGCGTCCTTAGCTATCAAGGGACAGAGTGGGGAGGCCGGTCCAGGTCTTAACTCTCCTGCTCGCTCTTCCTACTGTGGTATTTAAACTCCTTGCGGGGAAAAGACTGAACCGAAGGGGAGGAGACGCGGGGAAAGTGCAGCACAGGGGGGATGCAGACCGGGCCCCTGCCGCTCTGACCACGAGGCGCCCCGGGCCTGGGCTTCCTTAGGGCAGGGCGGGCAAACCATGCCCACTCGCGGGGCCGCTGGCAAGGTGAAAGGAGCACGTGGGAGGGTTTCATAAAGGACCACCCCGCCCGCAGGTGACACGTTGCGATGTGCCGACTTATTAACGACCGGGCGACCTTCCCTTTTAAGTCCCCGTGCATTACTTCAGTTTCAGCTTTTACTTTATGGAGTTAGGGCTGTTGATCCTATTTCCTGGCAAAGATCAGAGACAGAGGGACAGGCAGACAGACAGAGACAGAGAGACAGTCGTTGGAAGGCCAAGTGGCCGCCTCTACCAAGCTGTTGCTGAGAGTGAGCTGCTGACGGGAGGAGTCTCCTTTTTTGGCATTTTGCATATACCGTTCTCCTATTTTTGGGCACGTCTCTCTCCTATCTCTTATTTTTAAAGCCTCGCTTTTGCTTTTCCCCGGGCGTTTAGACCTTTCGGTTCTGCGTGGCTAAGAATCTCGATCCTGCCTCTTGTCCAGAAAGGGCAATAATGGCCCCCTGCCTGCTCTGGGGGGTGAAAGAATGCTCATGAACCGCCTCCAAAGAAAGGCCAACTTCGTGCGAAGTGAGACTTTGTTCCTCGTGGGTGAGATTCTCACCTTTTTGAGAAAGTCTGTGGATTTTCCCTGCAGCTACGCAGGGTGAAGGAGGGAGCCGGCAGCTCTGGAGCTGTAACGTGTGTCACCCCGTCGGCAGAGCCAGCCCAGCTTCCTAGGTGCTCTTCCTCCGGCCAGATGGATACAAGGCTCCTGGGAGGATCTTCCAGGGGCCACGTCTGTGCTGAGAAGTGTCTTTTTTGTTGTTGTTAATCCCTACCTGAGGATATTTTTTCTATTGATTTTTAGAGAGATTGGAAGGGCGAGAGGGAGGAGAATGGGGAGCATTGATGTGAGAGAGAGACATCGATCTGTTGCCCCCTGCACGTGCCCTGATGGGAGGCCGGGGATTGAACCTGCCTTTGACCGGGAATCGTACTCATGACCTAAGCGGGCTAAGCCCTAACCACTGGCTAGGGCAAGAAGTGTCTTCTTAATGAATGAGAGGCTGTATTTAAGGACACGTCCCTGAAACAGCTCTTGCAGCTCTGTCGTCTCCGTCTCTGAGGGCAGAGGCTTGGCAGTGAGCTGTGTGCTCTCAGGCTGCAGGGCCTGCCCTGGGTTCTGCAGGGCCAGCGTGGGCTGAGGCCAGCACGGACCCCGTGGGAGGTCCCCGGGGCTGAGGAACGCCACTGCCCTCGTCCTGAAAGAGGAGCTGGGACGTTCCACCAAGCAGCAAGGCTCTCTTGGGGGCGAGTGCTGGTGCGGCTTTGTCCACATGCTGAGATCAGAGACAGACATAGAGATACAGAGACACAGAGGCTCAGAGACGTTCCCACCTGCTGCTCTGGCAACAGTACCGCAGGGGCTTCAGTCTTGCGTTACATAGTAACTGATTCTCCGTGTTCATAGAGATGATGATGTTGCTTAGCACAGAGACCTTCCTCCCAGAGGCCCCCACCTGCTCGGCTCTTCCATAAACTTCCCTTCAACTTCTTTTCCTGAAAATGTCTGTTATTTTTAAATGTCTTACGTTTTTTTCTTATTAAACAGACACACTGGTCATAATGTCATCTTTCAGGGAAGACTTGCCGTGGTTTGGGGCATAAATGAATGTACTGAGCAGAAATTGAGAGGGAACCCCAGGGGCTTGTGTGTGGTATTTGGAACTATCGGTGACAGACTCTCTCCATTTCCGACAGCTGCTTTTTAATGTTCCCACTCTCCTCCCTACCGATGGCTGGTTTTCACTGCTGTCGGTGCCGGTCTCTGGCCCGGGAGCTGGAAGACAGGAAGACTCGGCTTGTTCAGCTTGTGTGCAGAGTAAAAGTGTGAATGGTTTGAGTGGGGAGGGCAGGAGGGCTGGGCTTCTCTAGTGGAATCGAGCTCACAATGGGCACCTGGAAACCAGCCACTGATGTTTGAATCTGGCCTAAGACATGGTCGGAAATTCTTTGTCTTAGCCTCCCAAGGTATCTATACTGTGAGGTGCTTCTTATACTCATTCCAGATTCTAGTTTACAAGGCCCTGAACAGGGCTCGTTCCATTTGCGCCCCCAGGAGCCCTACCCTTGCGTGCAGGTGGGATCAGCTGGGGCTTCGTAGACATGCAGGCTCCCGGCCCTCCTCGCCCTAGGCCCACAGAACCAGGACTCCCACTTTCATAAGCCCCGCAGGGCGTGAGTAGGCATATTAAAGTGTTATAAGCACCACCCTGAAACAGAAGTTCTCAAAGTGAGGTCCCTTGGGCCAGCAGCACCCTCATCATCACCTGGAAGTGGTCAGAGGAGAAATCACAGGCCCCGGGCTGCACCTGCTGAATGTCATCTCATTGGCCACCCCCGGTCCAAGGTAGACCGCTGCTGTCAGGGGCCTCTCCCTGAGATTCTGACCCCACTTGCTGA